TATAATTTTTTCACTGCATTGTACAATTGGTACCAAATTATATTGCTCTTTTTAATATTGGCCCCGAGGCTTTTTATAATAAACTTTGACCAGCGTGTGTGCAGTGATTCATTCAATTTACATGGATGAATCATGATCCAGCAGTTTATTAGTGAGTGGCAACCAACATCAAGATGCATAATTCCCATCTCCTGTGTCTTCTTCTTCTTTCTTCTTCTTCTTCTTCTTCTTTGATCAGTCAAATGGCAAGAGGCAACCAACATCGAGGTACATTATGCATCCAAAATGAAAAAGGAATGAGGAGAATAAAGGTTTTGATGTAAAGGAATTCATTACCCCAAACCCTGGCACCAGATGCAAGTTTAACAGGAGGCCTTCTTATTATTGTTAGAATAACATATTAAACTGTTTTTACTCTCTTTATTCCTTTGGTAAGTCTCTCCAGGGGCCGTATTTATGATCATTGTGTTGCCTGAGATGGAATAGGGGGTTGCTCCGTCCACTACACGCATCAAACTCGGATTGCAATACCTCCAGGAACGGTGCACCAACACAGCAAATGGCAGTAACACACCTTGACGTTGGCTGTCACCCGAATAAGAATGCATTAACCATAAATCTTCCCTAAACCCCTTTGCTTTATAAAAGATGTAAATCAAATTCCACTCAGTATTTCATCAGCGTTCTCTCGTCATCACATTGTCCGCCCCTGTGGTGCAGACGACTGCTCTGGCTGTTTGCTGCAGACACAGGTCATTTTCATTGGGTAATTGAACCTTTAGGGAGCCACACAGTGTTACATAATACTTACTTAAAGGTAATCCATCTTAGTGAACACCAGGCTGCAGTGTTAATGAGTACTCTCTTGTTGGTAACTGTGCATAATAACAACCTGTCTCCTGATTTAAAAACCTTTCAATTTCACTTCGAGAGCAGGTTGCAAGATTTGCAAGAGGAGAGGATTTAAAGTTAATTCATCAACACCTTCGTTTCCTGACAGGTGATCAGAGCTGCATATTTAAATAGGAAAATGTTAACTTTACTGGATGAGTTGTGAGTTTTTGTTATGTTTTACCTTCTTGAAAAAAGGAATCGTTTAAACCCTCCGTGAGCCATATGTACAATGATACATAGATTCTAAACCCTTCTCAAAGCAAGCTGTTCCAAATGAAACGCCTCAGTGGGGCATTAAATTGTAACACACTAAACTGACGATGTCCTCAGCATGGACATGACTACTTCAAACTAGATTATGTGAGTCTAAGGAAAAAACTTAATAGACAACATGGTCCAGGCAAAAATGTATAGCCCTTTACAATAATACATCTGCAATGCAGTGCTCTCTGTATTACTTGAGGTAATGACAGCCAATTATGAACCATAACACATTTAGATTCAGTCAGACGTGTGTAAGCAAACTTTAATGCTGAGGAAAATACCTACACAAACACTTCATTACACTCAGTGAACGGGAGGACCTTTCTATGGTAATTATAAGAAGCACTTGCAGCAGTAGTTTTACTTGGTCTTGCATGAGGAACACTTCAAGCCAAAGGGAAATTTCCAACCATGACCTCTCTGCACCCAAAACAAGAAGATTTCAGAATGAGGGAGACAAATGTAGAGGTGCAGGGCGTCTCTTATAAAATTTTGCAAGGACAAGTGCCACTGCAGGAGCCTTGTGATGTGGCTCCATTACACATCTGACAGATGGTTCACAAAGATCTTGAAAACGTATTTGTCTCCATGAGTGTGGTGCTTGATGGGTTGAGGGCTTGCAGGGCAGACTTGTGCTGCATTGACAGATTGTCTTCTCTACAGAAATGAGCTGGATTAGTTTGAACCTCATGTTGGAGCAGAGATAGACCCACTGTCTAGTACAATGTTTCTGAGAGCTGCCACCAATATAGATAGAAAACTATAGAAATATATAGAAAACAGGGGAGTGAAAGGGATGGCGTGATTGAAGCCTTTGGCAGGAATCCAATGAGTCATATATCAGTGACTGTAATGAAAGATGAGCACTTGATCATACATTATTGTGATAAGAACTAAAACCCCAGAAACATTTTTGGATATTATTTATTTGGTCAGTACACATATTATTTAGTGTATCTCAGGAACCATCTGTTAACATAGAGGGGGAGAGGTTTATGTACGACAACCAGCCACCTGGGGGCGATCCTGATGCTTTTGCTTCACTGAAGGGAGCTGACCTGTCATCTAACTTTTTCGAAAAGTTGTTGATCACCACTAAGTTGCCCACATTAATGATTTTTTTCTTCGATGTGGCCTGAAACCTTGGACTTCTTCTCCAATAAAAGGCTTTTATTCCAATACGCTCAAATGAATCACTGTCTTCCTTTCAAGTGAATATAAGTGGATGTGATCATAAATGTGTTTTACGTCATCTGAACCCCCCACACAAATCTCCCAGTGCTTTTACGTTATTGTGCTCTGATGATTGATTTATTACAGTCACTGCTATTCTTTTTTGTTTTCTTTTAAGGCGTCTTCACTGCACCAGAAACTACATCCACATGCACCTGTTTGTGTCCTTCATGTTGCGTGCCGTCAGCATCTTTGTGAAGGACAAAGTTGTCCATTCCAGCGCTGGGTTGCAAGACTTTGACTCTGCCCTTTTGGACAATCTAAAAACGGTTAGCATAGCATCGCTGGACAAGTCTCAATACGTAAGTACCACAACCTATTGTATCATACATGTATTATATTTTTACTAACTGCCATCTCCAAATATACTTTTGGCTTTTAGACTTGAGTTATAACGACAGCAGTTTTCCAGATAAATATGTTTTATATGAAGTAAGACAAATGCTATATGTCACATTGTCAGTAAAACTGGTGAAATGGGTTAAAATACATCCCAGAACTTATTTGCAAACATTTTGGTTTTACAAAGCATGTATAGTATATTGTGTAGAATAGAATTAGTATTTTTGCATAACTTTTTTTGAAATCATAATCATATGATATAGTATAACTGTTTATATCCTACAAATGGGTTGCCAGATTCTCATGATAAATTGATTCATATAATGAATCCTATCAGCTTAGTTTTGATTTGTTTAGCTTTTTCATTTGTCTGCTTCAAGTCATACACTATCATCAATATCAGTAACTAATATTTCTTAAGTGTAATCAAAACGCATGACTGTGATACTATACATTTAAAACTGTTATTTCAGAAGATATTTATGGAGAGAAACAATGAAAAGGAAATAAAGAATAATAATGATAATAACTTGATTTATAGAGCACATTTCAACACAAAGTGCTACACGAAGACAAATGGTTAAAATACGAAAGGAAGTACATACATAGTATGTATAATACAAGATAAAACTTGTAATAGATATTAAAGACCAATAAAAGTCCAGCCCCTAAAGTAAATTCAGGGATATGTCTTCTGAACATAGTATGTTTTTGTTTTGATTGAAATTGATCATGAACAAGAGAAATCGACTTTGGCGCATAGACCCCAGTGGAAAGTTGAACACCAGCCGTATGAATTAGGTGACGCAGATGTGGAGACGGTCCCTCATTGATCACAGGACTGAACTGACAACTCAATGAAAGGAGAGAGAGAATATTTTAAACTTAGTTTACAAGGTTTCAGGTTGTGCTTGATGAAAAGAGAGAATGAGCAGGCGGAGGTTAGAGATGTGTACGTGACTTAGGAGGCACGCACAAGAAGACAGTCTTCATATGCTCAGGCTGTGTGATGTTATTATGTTCCCATTGATTACTTATTCTTATTAAGATCTCTTTTCAATGTCGCTTGATTTGATCTAAGTAAGCCTTGAGTGAAGTGAGACCTGGCTTTAAACATAAAAGGATGGAAACCTTCATCAATTATCTTAAAATAAAACTTGAATGAAAACACACCTTCATTCTTAATCATTAATGAATAATAAAGCTCAATCTTTAGCAGTTGATTGCAAATGAATGCATTTCATCCTTTTTTGTTCAGACCATGTCATGTCGGTGCTGCTCCTCCTTTAGTTTTTGTTCTTTTTTGGTCTTTATAGCTTTGTTTTCTCTTCATATGAGCAAAAATGTAATCGTCTGTCATATGATAATTAAAGAAGGTCCTGAGACCAGGAAGGTTGTGAGACCAACCCATTATATGTGATGAAGGTACAGTGACAAATGAAACAGTTGCATATAATCCTATCTCTTCAACAAGCATGAGTCTGGTCCTCAGGTTGCTGTGCGGTGTGAGGTTTGCATGACAAACACATATCCTGAGGCAGCGTGCAGAGTCAGTGCTTCAGTCTGCTCATTCGATGCTGTTTTACCTTTGCCATGGATGTTATGTTTCTGTTTATGAGCGTGTGAGTTTTGGTGCAGATCCAATTATAAATCAGGACCATGTGAATTCAAATGTAGTTTAATAAGGGCACTGTTGGGCCTTGGCTGAGGAAAGTACTCTTCTGTTTGTTACTCTAGTTCCATGCTTGTCTTTCAGAACTCATTTTATTTCTGAAATTAGTTATGCTGTTAAATGTGTGGAACAAACGTCATGAACTTTTCTTCATTGCTGTGCAAATTTATTTTGCGTGGTTCAACATATATCATCTACTCTCACTGGGGGAACTTGTGATCACACTCATGTAAAGAAATATGTAGCACAAATAAGATGTGACTAAAAAGAAACGTGTTGATGTTTCCTTATTAGATCGGCTGCAAGGTGACCGTGCTGCTCTTCATCTATTTTCTGGCCACCAACTATTACTGGATCCTGGTGGAAGGCCTGTACCTTCACAGTCTCATCTTCATGGCCTTCAGGTCGGACTCGAAATACCTCTGGGGCTTCACACTCATCGGATGGGGTGAGCAGTAAATACACACATTTCTCATATCTTCTTTAACTCCAAAGTTCTGGTGCAGTATGATTAACAACTGATGTATGACTCATACTTAACAAATCAGCTTTAACTGTCACGTCAGTTTATGATTAAATACACAGACAGTGGAATGCATTAATATAGTCAATACAATGCACAAAGCCCTGTATTAGAGAACATCATGCAGCAGCGGCAGCAGTTTTCTTGCCCTCATGTATAATTTCTTCGTCTGTGGTCATTAAAATTCTGGATGCATTTTGCGTGTAGAAGAAACCCAAGGGTTGGAAAATGTGCAATTCTTACATTTTGCAACAAAGAAGAAAATTAATTACAGACATAATAAATATCCTCATCTCGAATATAGTTTTTTGACAGTAAATTTTTGAGCAATTTTGTTGCTCTAAGATACTTATATCATATATATTCATCAAAAAATGTACATTCAGTTTATAAGTATAGAACATTTTGATGGTATCTGTTGAACAGAACTGTCTGTACTCTTCTGATTTTTTAACTTTTTCTTCCACTCAAGTATGCAACACTGTTAAGATGAGCAGATGAAAAATCTTTCATTTTCCTGAAGCCACATTGTCACAAAGGGGAGAAAGACTCTCATCTCATCTGTGTCATGGCTGGTGTGGTATTGCATACCTTTCATTCAATATAATGAGCTGGTTTTCACTTCAGAGTGGAATGTGATTGTCTCCTGATAGTGAGACCCTCTCTCTCTGAGACCGGGGGAGACAAAGGAACTTAAGTTAATGTGTTGCACGCTGACCTGCTTTGGCCGGTTCAATCTCACTAATCAGTGGAGCCAGTCATATATTTATTTTGTCAGTTTAAAAGCAGTATCTTTGAAGGAACAGAAACCCTAGTTTTTGGTTTCCTGTCAGAAATGTCCACTACAAAGAATAAAACATGTACTTGAAGTCCTGTGAGAAGAAGGCGGTGCCCAACCCAAGAAAGAGCACCAAATACCAGGATCTCCTGCATGACTGTAGGGAGAGAGGTTGCCTGGCAGGCAGGGCTATTCTCGATTTGAGGTTGGCTGTAAAATATTCCCTGTGTTATTCTCACATTCAGAGGAAAGATGCAGCATTTATCACAAATGTCTCTATTCTGCAGAATACTACCCATTAATCTTTTTCTACTTGACCAGAATTAATTAAGCTGCTTTATTTAAATGAGGATCTCTCATTTAAAGTCATACACAGTCATAACCACAATCTTATACAATCTGCTTTTATGGTAAAGTCAATTTTGTAGCAGTTAGAATATGTGCATTGTTAATGTTACTACTGTTGATATTCAACTCAAATTATTTCTGTCACCTTACATTCTCTGAAGTGTATGTAAGTAGTGTCTCTTTACATATTATATTATAATCTCCTTGGCTCTTACAGATTTTTCTGCACGACCTCTCAGAGACGATGTTAACTATTGTTTTGTTTTTCAATTCTAGCTATAATTAGCATTCCATAGCTCACTCCTAAAATTGCCAAAGAAAACCAAATGTTCCAAATGCTGTGACTCTTTAAATTGCATTGCAGATTGTTGCTGGACCTGCAGTAAACAAATCTAACATGAATACTGGACCAGAAAATTTGCTGTTTGCCAGTCTTCAAGTCACGTTCTAAAATTGATAAATGATAACAGATCCAATGGTTATTGGAAATTGTTATAAATAAACAAATGAAGGCAACATTTTCTTGATTTTGTGTAAATATGCTTTTGCAGGTAGGCCACCGGATGTGTCACGTATTGTTGTAGATCGCTGTAGCAGCTGAAATCATCAAAACCCAGTATGCGGAATCAAAGAAATTTAAATACTGCTGGCTCACACAGCTGGCTGCTGGGATTAGACAGAAACAAATGCTTGTGGAGCGCCTGCGATGCCTGTAAGGGACTGTGCATAAATTATTGGAGAACAGGCGCCACAGGTGCTAAAAATATGCAGAAGATCACAATCATGTCTCTGTGAGAAGGCTTTTACTTTTCCCATCACAATTATATTAGCTGCTAATAGGAGCAATACATCAACATTGAGTTATGTGGATCTTTATCTAATGACAGCAGTCAGGGCAGGAGGGCATTGTTGTTCCACATACATTTTACCCTCACCTCACCCAGTAAGTTTCACACACTCCCTTAAGAGGTTAATGCTCATCCAGAGTCCGGAGCCGCGTTCAGCACGAAACACAACAGAATGTTTCTTTAAACATAAGCAGTGGTGCACGGAACACAAGCGTTGGAACAGTGGGAGCTGAGAGGGCCATCCTTGGAGTTCTCATGGAAGCTTTTTATACTTGTTCAGTCAGGAACACTTTGTCATGATCAGTGTTCAGGATCAGGATTGGTGAGAGAATGGGCTGTGATTGGTGGGTAACTGACGAGCACCCATAATCGGTAGCTGACAGCTGAGTACGTTACTCCGTGTCCTGCATGAACTAACACAATGCTTCAGTTTTTGTAATAGGCCTATGTGCTTAATACTTAATAATCTGCTTTTGCCATCTGAAACTTCTGCTTCCAACATCTTCACTTGATTCGAGCAGCTGCCACATTAACAGGGAATCCAATGTGTGCACCGCCTTTTTAATACACCTGGGTTATGTATACATGTAGGTGCTGATTGGGCAACACCTCTGATATGTTCCTGCCAGATTTACACCCACGTCTCATTTGTCAAGTTATCCTCAGTGTATTTATAACTTTGTAATGTTGTGGTTCCACCTTCAAATTGTCTGAAAGTTGTTTGCAACAAGCGGAAATCTCTGTTCTCTTCATGTTTTGCCTGTTGGACTGATGTCACCTTGGTTTGAACTGATTTTCTGGATTCTTGCCACTCCCCTTTGGATTTGTTTGTATATTTGGACTGCTCTCTCTACTTTTCAACTTTGTTTTTGTCTCAACCCACAATATGCCACTTTTAGGTGTTTAATTATCATCTTTTGGGTCCTTCCCCTGTGTCTCAATTGTGCCAGATACATTCATGTGACTAAAGCCTAGAACTCATATCTCTAGTAACTAGCGACATCCAAATTAAAGGCCTGCAAAGGGCTGCATTTGAAAGCTAGACTAGACTGTCACATTATCAAATGCATCCTTCCTTCCTGTGCAACAAAGGATCTAACGGGTGACACAATCCTATCCCAGGATTCATTGCACGTCTGTGACAAAGCCGACAATGGTAAGAGCGTGACAAGCTGGGAAATTCTCCTGGGACATAGCTCAACATTTTGTGGGAAATTAAATGAGAATGCAAAATGTGACATTCACCATAACTGAAGTCAACTCTCCCAGCTCATTGTTTGTATGTACTTTCTAATTTCAGGCGTTCCAGCAGTTTTCGTGGCAGTGTGGGCGATTGTGAGGCTGACACTAGCAGATGCAAGGTGAGAGAGAACCTATCTGACTGTGTGTATTTTTTTAAAAGGTCAACAAGTCTAAACGATAGGCTTCAAAAGAGACACAAAAGGTGTAATTAGTGCTTAATTAAAATGACATTTGAATGATCAGTGAAATCCAATTACACATGCATGACTTGAGTCATGTAGTGTAATTCTGCATAAATGTTCCTAATCGGATGCTTTCATTTAAAGGTTGTCTTGTCAGGTATTCACTTGACAAGACAACCTTTAGTAGGTATATACTCTTTCTCTGAGCAGTGTGTAAATGAGGTCATCAGTTTAGCTGCTTCTTTCCTCTGTCATTGCTTTTCTTTTTCTCTTCTTCCTCTGAAAACCAAAAAGTTTGTTTCATTATTAATATTCTCTAACTAAAATTAAATCCTTCACCTCCCTTTTTCCCTTCACACTGAATATAATTGTTAATTTGGTGCCAATTTATGACTCGGTCTGTGTGTGTCTTTTGAATGACACCCGCAACCTTCTTCTTTTGCTGCTTTTGTATTTCCTGCTTCTCTTGAATTCAACCTCTCCGGTTTGCATCAACTGCAGATGTTGGGAGTTAAGTGCCGGCAACATTAAGTGGATCTACCAGGTTCCCATCCTGACAGCTATCGGGGTAAGATTGTGAGTGTGAAAAACAGAACTGACCCTCCTTGTGAATGCACTTCAAGAAGTTTGTAACATGTGCAGCTTTTAATGATGGCAGAAATGACTAATGACATGGAGTTGTATCCAGATATTGTAGGTTTCTAAACCTGAGTCATCCAAAATAATTTATCCCAAGCACGAGTTGAAGTGTGTAAAATAAATATATGTACATCACTGATGAGAAGTGTTGCATCAAAAATCAAAAGCAGCTAAATAAGCTTAATTACTAATGTCAAACATCATTATGATATAGGGCTAAAGTATTGTTATGCTATTCTGATTATTCTGAGTTGAAGATATTATTCATTAGTATAGCAGAAACAGACAATCGTATTTTGGGATCATTGTGAATAGGGGGAATAGAGCCGGGCGATATGGCAAAAGAACATGTATCAGTGGATTTTGATAATTATCACAATAAATCTCATATAAGTATTTCTTTCAGGTTTAAAGACTGATTTTTGCTCATGAGTGAAGGTTGTGGTTTTAAACTCTTCTTTTTGGGCAGGGACTGATTAAAGCCCTAACAAACAAATTCTTTGTATGTGTAAACCTGCTTGGCAATAAAACTGATTCTGATTCTGATATATCTTTCTAGAAATGCATTGTATGTGCATACAGAGTGCTGTTTGTCTTTATGTATTCTGAATTCTCATTCAGACTCATCCAAGCGTAGGATTGAAAGGATGTAGATTCAGAAAAAAAAACAGGCCTCAATTTGCATGTTTTAAAATTACTCTACTTTGCCCTGGTCTCATTAAAGTCTCAGTATAAATCCCAGAAGTTGGCGAAAAGGGTATGGGCATATGTTGATTACTTCAAAATTAATTTGCATCCATATTTTTTTTCTCCTGACTTATGATGCAGAGACTTGCTACTGTGCAGAGGATGGGTTTGATGCAAGTGTTGGTATAAATATTTATTACATTTACAACTAAAATCAATGTAATGCCACCCTGGTTTATAATCTGTGTGGTGGATAATAGAACAATGTTATTTTCATTCAAGTGGAAACAATGCAGAGGGTGACAGGTTCGATGGGTTTGTGACATTTCGTTCAACGCCATCATTTCAAAGTGATTTACAATGACAGGATGTGAGGTTAATTTTAGAAATGAAGAATTTCTCTATTTTCTTGTCTTTCAGCTCAACTTTGTCTTGTTTGTGAACATTGTGCGAGTGCTGGCCACAAAGATCCGAGAGACTAACGCAGGAAGATACGACACCAGGAAACAGTACAGGTATCTACAGCACCAGCTGGTTGTTTTATATCCAAGGTTGGAGATGGTTGTCAATCATGTGCGAGTTTCATTCATTTGTATTCACTATATGTTTAAGCTTTCAAGTGCTTCTGGGAATACAAAGTCCTTTAGTTTAACTGCAATTCATAAATTCTACTTCTGAATCACGATGAATCGCTCAACAAATCATCAATGCTGAAGCCAGCTGTCGATACCCAGCAAACATTTCATCAAGTCAGGGATTGATTTATGTCAGGTTTATGACACAACATCTTCTGCAATAAGGGTTTAGATGACACTGCACTTAAACCACAAAACAACCACTTAAGCCATTTTCAGACACGTCCAGGAAATGTCCGCACAATGGGGTCGGGATTTTGCCTTTCACTGCTCTGAATGCAGCAAGAGATTCTACAGACACGTTCACAACAACAGAACAGTCTCTGGAGCATTCAGGCGAGGGGTGGTGCAGCAGGCATGAAGCAGGAAATAATACAATAATACAAATTCTGCTGTGGGAGATCATGTGTTTTAGTTTGTCAACCCCAACACCACTTTATTTTCAAGAGGACTTGCAGGAAAAACTCTGGCGAATGTCTGGAGCCTCTGGCTTGGACATTTGTGTTTTTACCCACAGCCCCTCTGCATAATTCCAGCAGATAATCTGGAGTTCAGTGCATGTCTTAAAATGTTTTGTGAGTATACTAGAAATAAATGCATGCAATATCAGTGTTATACCGTTCTTTAATATGCAACCTTAAAGTTTTGTTTTCATAGTAAGCCATAGAATTGTCTGACATTCAATGCAACCTGATATCTGTTCAGTTTGCACTTCAGCCGTGTATTTGAACTCATGACGATGACTACACCAGGAGCTTGTTTCAGCTTTGTTACTTTCTCATTCCCTTACACTGTCTGTTGCACACGGCATCAATACCCATGGGTTCCTTTCTCTTCAGTAAAACGTGCATTTAGTTTCAGCAGTGGAATTACTGACTGTGTTTCAGCAGAACAATAGAATTTACTTTAAAGCATAAATTGTTTTTTGCAATGATAATATGTGACCCTGAACATTGAGTGAATAAGCAGGTTCTTTCTTCTAACACAGTCAGTTGCTTCAATCAATCTATATATTTTTTTTTCATATATATTTTTATTGGATTGTTGTGATACTGACAAATGCAGAACATCATCTGCCTTGTTCTTTGTGAATGTTTTGTTGTTTTTGTGTTGTGCTTTATTAACATATACTACACTTGCTTTTCGTCATATTAGACAATGCAGACTTTTTCTTGTACAGAGAGCAAACATGCAGCGTTCATTGAAATGAAAACTCCAACACACATGCACATTGTTTGAATTCTAGGGCCTGAAATGTGAGACCACAGTGAGATTGTGAGACAAGATGGGTAATATGTGTATATACAAGCACACTCATGCACACACTCTTGATTGTCGTATGTTTAATGCAGTCCCTAGTGCCCTAACCTTCTCTTCACATTTAAATGGCTAACTACAACCCTCACAATAACCCAGACCTGATCCCAGCTCTAACCTGAACCTCAAAATCAAAATTGTGTGACTCAGACCATCTTCCGCTGCGTTCTTCATTTGTAAAAGGAAAACTCAGGCTAAGTTCTAGACCCACCTCTCCTCTCTTTCCCATTGTTCTCCACTGACACCAACCAGTTGAGGTAGAGGGTAGAGTCTGTTTCTGCTTAAGGTTTCTTCCTGTTAATGAGGGAGTTCTTTTTCTCTCCACATCTCCCAATGTGTTTGGTAGTTGTGGGAACTATTGGCTTTTGGTGTGAACCTTACGATGTAAAGTGTCTTGAGATAATCTATGTTATGATTTGAAAATTTGAAATTAAATAAAATTTAGTTTTCTAGATATTATCCTAAAATGGCTTCAATCCTTTTGACTTAATGCATTACCTAAGCCCCATATACATTAACCTTCACAACTACATGGCATGTCATTTAGCCAACAGTAAAGTGAGTTACAATTAGTGCATTCAACATCTATGAGGGGCTATTCAGGGTTCAGCATCTTGCCCAAGGATACTTCAACATGGGCTGGGATTCGGCCGCTGACCATTTGGTTGGAGAATGACTACTCGACCGCTCAGCCACAGCTCCCCAACTAACTGCCACTTAACACTTTTGGCAAGTCCTCTGACTGGACAAAATGTTCTGTAGTTGGCCAACTGAGGACTGGTCTCAAACTGATCTTCACAGAAATGGAAGTACACGTCTGTATGCTCACACACAGATGTGTGTTAGTGTTGCTTGGCAGTTTTACATCTGCAATTATCCCCAGATAAAAAACATCATAATTGCAGTGTACTGCCGTTGTACTGTGAGTGAGGTTGTTATTACTGCGTAGATGAGCAGACTGCGTCAGTCTGAAAAGATGATAGTGATCAGGTGCACTAAGCCAAGATGGAATATGACACTAAGCACAATATGCTGTGTGAATGTGTCAGTGGGATCTTGATACCGTGGCTCCACGTCACCATCACGACCCCAAATGATGCCACAAGTGCAATATGGCAGCACTCATATTAAGGATAATTTGGCTAAATTTTGCACAGAGGAATGATGCAGTGACACGTTGTCTATCTTCATTTGCAGGATACGGTCGTTCTTACATCCAAATAAGAAGGTAGCTTCCATTGCTCAACTTTTGGCTCATTTTAAAACCTCAGTCTTATCACATATTTGCACTGTTTTGCACCTTTTTACCAATGTTTGTGACCTCTGCAGATATTAGGAGGATGCCCAGCTTATGAAACTGATAAATGTATGATTTCACTTGTTGCGTAATTGTAAGAAGACAGGGCTTCCCAAACTTTTCCATGCCATGGCCCCCCAAACAGCTTTAGCTTCTGGCCGGGGACCCCCTTTGCAAACCCACAGACAATGCTACAAAATATGTAAAGAAACATCAACTTTTAGAGTTTTTTCTTACTTTTATTCACTATTCAATAATTATTACATTTGTTTAGCATAAGAACATT